GCTGATTTTTGAATGCTCCGACTGAGACCTCAGAGCGTAGGTCTGATGGAAGAGTATTCCACAGTGTTGGTGCAACTACTTGGTAAGCACGGTCACCTCTAGTTTTGAGACGTGCACACGGTACAGCTTGTAGGCTTTGTTTTGAGAATCTTAGTGGCCTAGTGATAATATACGGGTGCAGAATGTCAGAGATGTACCCGGGTGCCTGACCATGCAGTGCTCTGTATGTTAAAACGAGCATTTTGAATTTAACAGGGAGCCAATGTAAAGAGGACAGAATGGTTGTTATATGAGTTCTCCGTCTTGACCTGGTCAACAACCTTGCAGCAGCATTTTGGACCATTTGTAAACGGTCCAGGGACAACTTGCTAAGAGACGTAAAAAGGGAGTTGCAATAATCTAAGTGGGAAGAAATAAAAGCATGCATTATCATCTCAAGTTCTGAGACAACAGGTTAACAACAGATAACCCAGAACCAGCGCAGGATCTTGGAGAAGTTCTGCCCTTCTTCACAGTTGCTCTGTGAAGTGCTTCATTCTTCCGTTTGACAACTCCCTCTTGCACCTGTGCACATACACATACAGTACATCCCGCTTTGGTCTTCAGGCTGTCTAACCTCTCAACATTCAAAAGTGACCTTCTGACATCTATTGGAAGTTTCTATTGCCTCATCCGAAAACTATAGATCATTTAAAGCTACTCCTTCTCACATCTGTGTAAGTAAAAGATACCCACAGCCAGGTGCTTATAAACCTTCTGTGTGAGGCAGGACAGTGTACGTATGTGTATTTACTACTGTAAACGTATGTGTTTTATAAACTGGATTGGCCATTTATTCTACTCACCTTTCCTCAATCTTTAATAATGCAGACATTAGTCAGAGTGAAAGCAAAACTAACAGTTTGAACCCAGCAGTCCACCTTCATTCCCTTCCTTCTTCATCATATGAGGGTGTTTTGATTTCTCTTTGATACATATATTTTAATAAAGAGATATTTGAATGATCATAGCTCGTATGGGAGACGCTCTGATGGTCTAGCATCATCTTGAAATGAAATAGCCTTCCTTCATTTACTGATACAATCCAGACTTGGCCACATTAGTGGCTAGACAAACATGAATTAGTCAAATATTATTTCATAAATTTAGATGATTCATTTCACAGCAAAGGGCTTTAAATCAATTAAGTCTAGTGGCTGCTGTATTTGCACAGGCTGGCTGGCCGTCATACAGCCAGTGAATCGCTCACACAGCTGTGTGTAGTGCACCGCAGCAGACCTGAGTTCAAGCGTCACATACACTCCACCAGACCCACTCTTGGGATTTAACAACTTTAACAAACTTATTTTTTGAATAGAAACACAAAGAATGAGTAAAGCCCATGTTTGTGTGTGTGTGTGTGTGTGTGTGTGTGTGTGTGTGTGTGTGCATGTGTGTGTCCATGAAGGTCGGAGAGGAAGCAGAAGATAGAAGATGCTATTAGGAATGTCTTTCTGGTCAACCTTTGACTCTAATCGTGCCCAAGTGGGTGAGCGAGAGTGCAACTGTTACTGTGCGAGTGTACAAGTATTATGGTGCGTCCCCAGGCCTTTGCTGTGGTCTCCCCATCCTCTCCGGTTCTGCCGTTTTGACTGTGGTCTACTCATATAGTCCACGTGTTGTTTATTGCGGCCCAGAGCCGGCGCTGGGCTTGATACCTTTGCAGATTCCCCTGCCAGAAAAACTTTTATGATGAAATGTGAGGCAGGAAAAAGGGAGGTGAGGACAAACAGAGAAGCTGTTTTCTTTAAGCCTCTGTTTTACTTTGCAAACCAGTGTCCAGAATCCACATTTGGCTGTCACTGCAAGCATGAAGAGAGGAAGTCAAGGAGAGTGTGAGTGTGTGTTTATGCGTGTGTGTGTGTGTGCATGGTTGCATGTTTAATTGAAGGTACATGCATGTGTGCATGTGGAAAACTGTTGACTATATGCATGTGCGCTTGCACACTTTAGAGTTGTTATTAGTTTGTGACTGTATTCGTTTAAAGAAATTCCAAAGAATTAATAGTCTTGCGACCACAAAATCTTGAAAACATATCAAGGTAATTTTTTTTAAATGATATGGTGCTGAGTGAGATGCTGGAAAGCCTAAGTGGGGTTTGGAAAATGGGGTGATATAGATGTGTTTATAATTCATCTAACCTTAGGAACGCTTCAATGCAATCTCCAATGTCCGCTTTGGATTAGAACTGGGTCAGAGTGGACAGCAGTGAGCCCCCGTCACTCTTCACTTTCTTTCTCTTTCTCTCATACACTAAACAATAAAAAAGGCAGTGATAGTAAGAAGCAGAATGTAGTCCCAAATGTCCAATTGCGTAGGCAGAATGAGTTCCCCTGTTGTCCATAAGACCGTAGGAGTTCTGCTTTGCGTGTTATCGCTCTCACATGGAAACACAAATCCACACAAATGCACAAACCTACGTCATAGCTGGGAAATACAAACCTGTCCCAAAGACAACCTTGCTTGAGGAGTTGAGGGATTTCTCACACCGACACATCACTTTGTCTCGCCACAGGACCTGCACCTTTAAACGGCAATAGGAAAACTCCTGGAGAGTTTGGAGCATGGCTGGAGGGATGGAGTGTTGAAAGAGAGGTGCTAGTGGCAGGGCGAGTGAGAGAGAGAGAGAGGGGTGTTGTTGGAAGACGAAGTTGAGATGAACGGGTCTAGAGGGAAAATAAAATTGCAGAGGAAATTGAAGGAGAAGAGAGAGGTTAATCACCTTGACGTGTCAGCTGTCATCTCAGCGTGTGTGCCAGCTGATAAAGCCATACAGTATTTGCTGTAACAGACCTGCTGATGGAAGTAGTAGTTTTATCCAGTGGAGGAGCAGCATGTCAGTGGTGCAAATATGCTCAAGCCAAATAATATGTGAAGAATTCCCATCATCTCGATCCACGTTCTTTACCTTTGCTTTCACCCTTACTCCTCTCCGTCCTTTCATCCTTCCCTCATCTGTCCATCTCTCTCTCCTTGTTTTTAGCATACTGTGCCTGGCAGCGGTGAGTGCTTTAAGAGGGTATTAGCAGGGCGTCTGTACAGTACTATCACAGCTTAGTGGGCCAGTGCAGGTGAGACAGCAGGGATTTCCTGTTAGGCCTCTCTGCTACATTCTTGCTAAATTGCTAATCGCCAGGTGGGGTTTGAGGGGAGGGGGTGGGATCTCTCTTTCCCCCTTATTCTGTCTCATACACACAGAGGCAAACACACATGCACGCGCTCAGGTAGCGGCACATGGGCATCCGCACAGGATGACGTGCGTGCACTAACATACTGTACGTACAAAGGATTAGTGGTGTCACTAGTGTGTATGTGTGTGTGTGTGTGCTAGTGTGGAGTGGAGAGGACAGAGCAGGGCTCAGTATTAGACTCTGGTTGTCTGCCAGAGGAGCAATATGAGATAAATACTTCACCATCTTACACCTGGGGGTCCTGGCCTGCCTCTAATGCTACTGCTTGAGAGGAGCCCTCTGTGTGTCTGCGGTCCGCATGGTGCACTCTCATTTTACACACACACACACACACAAACGCAGGCGGGTAGGAACTACCTGTGGCCTAACACAGTTCCACGTTATTGTTTTTTCTACCGTGGTTTGTTGCTCGTTAGTTACTAACATACTCCCAACATGTCTTGGAAGATATATTTAGATCATTTACATAAGTAAAAGAAAGCAATGTAAGCATAATTGATTCCATCCACAAAAGTCTTGCATAGTTGAAGTGTACTGAAGCAGAAATATGAAGAGGCATAAAACTGAATACTCAAGTAAAGTGCAAGTTCTTCAGAATTAGGTACAGTATATGACTAAATGTACTGAGTTACTTTCCACCCCTGCTCCCTCGCTTTCTGGATCGCCTTAAGTGCCCAGTGAAATAGTTGAGAGACGAGCTGGAGAACACAAGAGAGCCTGTGCTTTAAGTGTTTTCACACTGTCCCCTCTCTGTCCAAGTGACGCTTGTTAAAAGAACTGTTAACAAGCCCTCCCTTACTGCTTCCCTTTATCTACAGTATGTGTGCGTGTCTCTTGAATTTGTAAAAAAAAAAAAAAAAAAAAATTCAGAGCTTAAAATTAAGTTCAAATGGGTTCACTCATTGCGCCATGGCAAAAAGTGCTGGAAATGTAATCAGGTGTTGAAGAGCAACAGAGGAGCAAATAGTCTGTTCATGGCAGCCAGCTGAGAGTGTGTATGCATGTGCTTGTGTGTGTGTGTGTGTGTGTGTGTGTGTGTGCCACTGTAGGCGGTGCAGCAGAACACTGATATATGTCCAATAAGAAGTTCTGGAGTGGGCTCAGATATCACTCATCTCATTGCACGCAGCCAGATACGAAGGATTTTAATGTGTGAGTGTGGAGTGTGTGAGCAGTCTGATCTATGGCAGCGCTGGCCCAATCATACAGCACTCTCAATAACAAATGATGGGACAGCCTCCAGGCTCCTTTTCTCTCACACACACACATTTACTGCACCAGTCCACACTAGGTCAAAGCTGAACTTTTACTACTTCCAAATGTCAACAAGTAAAGGTGTTGAGACATGTCAGTTCCAGTACTGAATAACAGCATATCCTGACTGGGAACTGGGGGTGAAAAATTCATGGTGTAAGCTTTTGTAATCTTTTTTTGTGTATTTCTTTCTTTTGTAAGTGTTAATGCTTTTCTGTCTGTTTGGTATGTTTCCTAATCAAACTGTCTATTACAGATCACGTTCAACATACTTGCTAAACTGTATGAATATTGCGTTATATCATATACTCTGACTTATTTCTTACTGTGGTTGTCTGAGTTTCTATCTACCTGTCTATAAGTATAAGCATTCATACTGTAACAGCGGTTCCCTTTGCGATCTCTGTCTGACTATATGTTAACTGATTGACTCCCTTTTGGTCTGTCTCTTCATGTTTCTTTCTGACTTCTTATCTGCTTATCTGCACTTAACTTCTTGTCTTGGTCTTTTCTAGGTAGATGCACTGCGGGTGCGTCTGGAGGAGAAGGAGCAGTTGCTGACCAAGAAGAGCAAGCAGCTGCAGGACCTGACTGATGAAAAGAGCACCCTAACAGGAGAGATCAGAGACATGAAGGACATGCTGGATGTGAAGGAGAGGAAAGTTATTGTGCTGCAGAAGAAGGTAAGGGAGTCCTGCTAGTTGCAACATCATCAGTATCTGTAAGTGTTGCATGCAGTGTACAAGTGTCTAACACATGGTGATGTTTGTGAAAGGGGTCGCTTGTAGTGACAAACCCATAAAGAATTATCACCTGACTTTGCATTTCCCTCCAATTTCCATCCGCAGCAGGTAGCTGTTTTCAGCGAAAGCCCTCTTTACACTACCTGCACAGCACCACCTGGGAGATGAATAAAGTTAGCAACTAGCTGGTGTAGTAAAAAGCCAGCTTTTTCCATCAGGAGCACTTTGAGACCAAAAATAGAGCTAAAATGAGAGTAATTATTGGATTTACATTCGTCAGGTGGACAGACACACATGTCCAAATGAATGATAATTTTGCTCCGTGGCTGCTGGATGTGTACATATGTAAAATTTTACCAACATGTGCATAATATCAACTTCAGCGGGCGATAAGAAATCAATGTTGTGTTTTCAGCTTGTTCAGCTGCCTTTGAATGGCCAACCTCCCCCCTATGAATACTGCTTTAACAAAGGAACTTCTGATTATAGTTATGAAAGCTGTACTAAACAAAGAAACTAAAATCTTTATTTCTTTTTTCCGTTCTACATTTGCTAGGAAGCACTACTGTTGAGTGAATTAAATCACTTTTATAGGGAAACAAAGAAGTGTAGATATTTGATCAGTGACAGGTTTGTTGACTGTCATCACATCAGATAACGTTCCCTGGTTAACCAGCCATATTGGAAATTAATTCTCTGTGCTGGCTCATTGAATCATTGAATGTGTGCCAAGTAAGATCTGCTACTCAGTTTATCGCTGTTGCATATGCTGGTGACAGATTCCTTCACACATAAATGTGTACTATACAGTGGATGAGACAGTGAATGCAGCATCGTATTTCTGGTCCCAGAGTAGCGCACACATCCTCCTACATACAGTATAAATGCACACCTGCTCACACATGCACACGCACACACTTGCACGGCATGTCTCGAAGGCCCTAATGACTTTTATGAGGTTAGCTATTTAGAAAGGGCCTGTGGTGCGCATGTTGGCAATTCCTCTTTAAACCAATTACACACACATAAAGGTCCCCTCTTAACTTCCTTGTTTCCTCTCATGTCATCAAATGAGATCTCTCTCGCTGTCCTCCCACCCTCTCCCATGCTGAGTTTAATGAGAAAGGGCTCCAAAGGTCACGCATGGTGCGTATGTATGTGTGCGTTTACATGTGAGTGAATGAATATGGTCAAATGCATTCATATGTTTGTGTAACCTTCAGGTGCTTCCGCGTGAGGAGTTTAAAGATGTCCGTTATGTGCAACCTGCGCTGTACTCATTTGTAGGGATGCACTGAATGTTCGGCCGCCCTAATTAATTGGTCGAAAATAGCAAAAAAAGCACTTTTGGTGTTCGGCCTAATAAGTCTAATGACCAAATAAATTTTACCAAACAATTACGTTGACATGTTGGCAGTGTGGAAGCATTTTAAAGTGTCTGTGAAAGATGCAAAAATCGCTGTTTGCAGACCCTGTTCTGCTGAATTTTCTCCCAACACATCCACTCCATCTGTGGCTGATTAGAAAAGGCAGCAAACAGTCTGACCCACTTTGAGTGGTTCTGTCACTCGTTTTTGAGAAGGCAATTAATGTAGCTGCACCTAAATTTGGAGTGCACACGACCAGTGCGAGCTGACAGGCAGGTTAGCGTCTTTATCCTGTCATTTTCTCTCTTTACAAAGACAAGTGTTGCAGTATGAGAGTCCTACCTGAAGAGAGGCTATGAAGTCTTTATGTTGCGCGATACCACATACAACATTATTTATCAAACTGGGTCGGAATTGATGAATTTAGCGCGAGGATAAACGTGGGACAACGTCCAGTTTTCAAAATAAGGTGTCTGTGCAGTATGGAAATAAGATTAATTGGATTATTTTCACAGGAAGTATAAAACATATTACATGTGTACATTAAAAGTAAATGGACACATGTAATTTGGGACAAAAACATGTTCATCTCAACATTTTTTTATTTGGTATTATGACACTGTTTCTTACATGTGTGAACGTGAAATAGTGAAAGAAGTAGTGATATTTAAAAAAAAACAAAAAACAAAAAAAAGAAGTAGTGATATTTGAATGAAGAACAAGTGTTTTACAGTGTGAAACAACAGGTGTTTTATTCCATTAGCCACACTGTATAGACTGACCACAATCTGATTGGTTTTCCAAACTTCCTATTTCCCAACAGTCCCTGGGTGCTATAACTTACAGTGCTGTGTCCCAAGGGAGAGGCTGGAGTGGAGCTAGGAGTCAAAGCTAGTTTCCTTTCTGGGCTTCATACTATCCAAGTTACTGCTGCCTTATAATAAAATACACAGACAAGCTCTGTGTGTATTTGAAGTCTTTGCAGGCAGTATGAAGTCCTCCCAAGACACAAATCTAAATGTCAAGGATGTATTTCCTAACTAAAGGGTGACTGCATGTTCTTGAGTAATGACACTGATACTACCTTAACAAATCAAATGTTTTGAGGCTGACCTGTATATGAAGCTGAGTTGAGTAGTTGCGAAACTTGCGATTTTCAGATCTTGGCACGATGTAGTCTTTGCCGTCAACCAGAGCTAAAAACAAGCTTTTATTCATCATTAAGACATCTTTAAATCTTCTTTAAGTCTGTAAATGCTGGTAGAAGTGTACTACACTGACAAAACCTTGTCCTTCCACTGCTACCCTATGTTGCTACCAAACAACGTTGTTTTGTCAAATAATATGACAGGAAATGCCTAAGAAAATCACATGTTGTCCGATTTTTATTTTGACAAAGTTGGAAAACTGAGCAAAGTTGCACTATACAGGGGATGACAGCCAGAGATGCTCACAAGTCTTTGAGCTAGAGTTCAAGTCAAGTCTCAAGTGGTTATAATGAATCTTTTATCACCTGCTGTGTACCATCCAGGCTATATCTAAAACTGCTTAGCTATAAGAGATTCTGTAACTGTAACCTTTTTTTCACTTACAGAGCACAACCATGTAATGTGCAATGCAATCAATGCAGCATTCTGTCCTCGCGGCACATCAGTTTATACGACATATCTAGCAGCAGTGTTGGGCAAATTACTCAGAAATTGTTACTTTTTACTTATTACTCATTTAAAAAGTAATTATATTACTTTACTTATTACTGTGTACTAAAAGTAAATAGTCACGTTACTCGTTACGTTACAATTACTTTCAACCACCGAACCCCAACCTTAAAAGGGACGGGAAACCTGTTCTGCAGCGCGTTTTAGAAATGAATCCTCTTTACTGGAACAATAATTAACCTGAGGAGTCAACAACCAGCTGAACTGAAAACACTGCAGCCTCTTAGACCAGATGATGCTGTATCCTATAGGCTATGGATATAGGCAATTTAAAAATCTTAAAAAACAAAACAGGTCCCTTCCCGACATTTTAACTGATCGTGTATTCATAACAGCATCAATGAGTATGATTTTTACAGTACATAACATTTTGTAACGTCACTGTCTGAAATAGAAAAAACAAAGCTGGTCCCTCCCGACTTTTTAAACTAATCGCGTATTCTTAACAGCCACAATGAGTATGATTTTAATAAAACCTATAACGTTTTTAACGCCACTGGCTGATATTTAAAAAATCAAGCAAGAGACTTTTGAACTAACATTACTGTTGCTTATAAGTGCACATGCACTTATAAGAGTAAGTATTCAGTGCTTTTACAAAACACAATACGTTGATAAACACCACTCTCTCCTGGATGCATCACTGGCAGTAACGTTAGCTGCCGGAGTTTCTTTCTACAGGCTTTTCACGTTTCTTAGCAGATGCTTCAATACAAAATTTTTCGTGGTTGAAAGCTTTTTGCTGGTCTCACAACGTTTACTGAAGACCATGTTCTTTGCATGTTTGAGTGTGACACAGCCAGGCTATATGGCAGTAGTCACTGTACCACAGTACAGCTCTGGAAAGAATGCTTCTCTCCCTCGTTATTCCTTTAGCTTTTTGGCTAACAGCTGACTGCTAACCTGCAGCGTGGTCGCACATGTTCTATTAATATGCGAAATGAAACACAAACAAACAGATCCAACTCTGAAATGGCAGTTCATTATTAAGTCAACGAGAATTTACAAACAATGCGTAATCTACGTTGATTACAGTGGTTGAGTACAATCTTCTGACCGGCTACCAAAGCGCTTTTGCCCCCTGGCTGCGCGCATATCCAGTAGTGTTTGTATACAAGAAAACCCGTCTATAGCTTAATGTACAACGCAATGCGTTTACAACTTCTAAACAAGCTTATAAACTGTAAGTCAACACATCCCACAGACTCTCAAATCCAGGGTAACATTATAACTAAATAAAATTGTAATGTTACATGATCGATAATAAACTTGTAACCTGTTTGCAGCCACCGTTAATAATTAACCTGATGGCAGCGTTAATCAACCACCACAAGTTTGGCAAGCAAACAAACACTCATCTTTTCACAACGAACGACAGTCGGGAGTTAAACTCCTGTAGGTCGTAGCTAAAGCAAGAAGCAAGCTAACGTTAAATGGCCAATGCTGAGCTAAACATGTTTACTAACCTCAGGTTACTAACCTAGTTTGCGTTCAGCGCTTTTTTGTTTGGGTCTTGTTGTATGATGTTTTAAAGCCAAAGTTTATGATGACACGCAGCACAGCAGCTGCCAGTATTTGTTGTCCTCAGACACGTAGTATGTTATGTATGTAGGTTATAGGTAACGCAGGGAGGGGAACAACGAGCTCATCAGACATTTCCTAAAAATAAACATTGCTCACGAGTCCTGCACCTCGTGTCCGAGTCGAGTCTGAAGTCACCGTGTGTGCAACTTAGGTCGGACTCGAGTCTGAGTCTCAAACTCAAGTCCCCATCTCTGATGACAGCATTACTCTGTTGACCAACGAGTAGGTGAGCAGACGTAAATTGGGCACTTCTATAATTGCATCATCACAA